CCATTCTTGCCTGTTCCCTCCTTTCCTCTCCCTATCCCCTGCGTCAACACTGTTCCACAATCAAGGTTGTGCAAGCACCAGCGACCTCAATGCTTCGCCCGAGAAGGCTGAGTCTGCTATGCCCACCTGTGGCTGCATGCGCTCTCCATCACCATATCATTGCTCATCCATGCCGCCCGCCCAACCCTCCTTTGATGGGCCTGTTTTCCACCCTCACCATCATAAGTTGAAGTGGGGGAGGGAGGAGGAGGGAGAGGAGGGGGAGGACGAAAAGGAGGAGGAGGAGGAGGAGGACCCCCTCCCCCTCTAACTTATGGTGGTGGTGGTGGAAAGCAAGCCCATCATCCTGCCCCCGGTGGCCTCCCTGCGCGCGCCGTGGGCGAGAGCTCTCCCAGAGGCTCGGAGAGAGCGGGGGCTGAGGAAGGGGCCGCACACCAGCGAGAGCGGGAGGGAGAGAACGAGAGATCAGGGGCAATGATAGGGTGGAGTAGGCATAGGGGGGAGAGGCATCGACCCCCCATCGGCCACTGATCGCCGATGGGGGTCCGATGGCCCCAACCCGCCCGGGGGCCTATCGTCGATCGATCGGCGATGTACCGCCGATTCAAGGTCGATGCATCCCCCCCTATGCCAGTCCTCCCCTGTCGTTGCCTCTCAACAGAGAGAGAGAGGGAGAGAAAAAGAAAGAAAGAGAGATGCCCGACATGCCTCCCTGCTGCCTGACCTGCCGGCAGCGAAAGGCTGCGCTGGGCAGGGCCAGGTCCTCTGGGTGTGTCCCTTGGTTCGGTCGTGTCGGCTGCGGCTTAGTCGGCCGCCCTCGGTCGGTTCGGTTCGGTCGGCTGCTGCGCCTCGAGGAAGAAACAACATCCCAACCAGAAACTTTTGGAGCTCCGCGCAGATCTCTTGGATCCGCGCTGGACCCCCTGGGCGGCGCCTCCGGCGCCGTCCCTGGCGAGCTTCGCGCGCCAGGGGAGAGGGGCCCGGCGCGGATCCAAGAGATCCGCGCGGAGCGCCCAACATGAATGCTTGGGCCGTTTGATCCCTCTTCTGCGGTTGCTGCGCCCCTGTCGAGTGGCCGCGTTCCTCGCGGCGGCGCTCGCTCGGCTCGGTTTCGGCCTGGACTCGGTCTCGCGGTCGCCTCGGCGTTGGCAACCGCGGCCCCGGTGTGCCGCCGTGGGCGGCTCGTGGGTGTCGGGGTCCTCAACCCGCCGCCCCCCTCGAGCAGTCCCTGGCCGCGGTGGAGCTGGGGCGGCGTCGGCATGAGCCGCGGCCAGCCTGAGGGTCTGCGCGCGTCGTGCCCTGGGAGGCGATACTCGTTCGACGCCGTGTCGAGACCTTTCCTGGGTGCTCGAGGTGATCTCGGGGATGTTGTCCTCAAGTACGATGGGAGCAGCAGAAGTCCAGCCTCGGATCGGACGCAAGGGGGAGGGGGGGATTGATGAAGAAGGGGGGGGAATTCCTCCAAAGGCTGCTGCTGCACGCAGCTGGTCCCCGCCCCGCCGCCAGGGGCTTTCCTCGATACGCGCCGGCCGCCTTCGGCGCCGCGAGGCGCATGGGAAGCTGGTTCGCCACGCCCGCCGTGGCCGTCGCCCCCGCTCGTGCTCGGTGGTCCAAAGGTGGGGGGATGGGTCAAGGCAGGAAAAGCCACCAAGACCGGACAATGTGGCGTTTACTAAACGGCCTTGGGCAAGTACTCGAAAAAAGCCCTGCCCTGCTCGATTCTCTTTTGGGGCGCTTCTGCTAAACGGCCTCGCGTGTCGGGGCGGCTGTCATCGGGGTGGATGTCCTGCCCTCTCATGGGGTCCTGAGGCCAGGAAGGGATCCAACGGTGACGTTACCCCAGATTTCGTAATAAAGGGAGGGGGGTCTCATTTCGGGGGGGGTCTCTTCCAGGCTATCTTGGAGGGCCTGGGGGGTCTGGGGACGATGTTTTGGAGGGTTCTCCCACAGGGGAGGTCTGAAGTGGCTTATCTTGGATGGTCCAGACACCCTCCCTTTCGTTACGAGATCTGGAGTACGCTGGTTGAGGCACCTCGCCCTCAGGACCCCCACCCCCCGGGGCCCCAGCTCTGAGCCGCCGCCGTCCTGCCCGGAGCCGCTGCCTGGCTGCCGCGGGCCTGCGGAGGGGGGTGGCCAGGGCGCGCGCACGGCGCCGGAGAGCGGGGCACGAGTGCGGGCCTCTCGGGGTCGTGCGGCTCTCTCGGGTCGGCGCGGAGCCGGGTGTACCGCCAGGGCCCCAGGCGAGGGGGCCCGGCTCGCAGTCTCGGGGGCGGAAAAGAGGGGGGTGATGACTAGGGTCAGAGCCCCGAATCCTCAGGGGTAACTCGGGTCAGGGCTAACTCGGGTTCGTTTTTCGGGATTCCGAACCCGAGTTACCCCGGACCCGAGTTACCCCGGGTAGTTCGGGCGTCCAGGGCCCCAAATCATCAGGGGTATTTCGGGTCAGGGCTAACTCGGGTTCGTCTTACGGGAATCCAAACCCGAGTTACCCCGGACCCGAGTTACCCCGGATAACTCGGGCGCCCAATAGGGGGGTGGATATCATGGCGGGGGCCATGGTATCTCCCCAGATCTCAGGGCGCCTCTTCTTATTTCATTACGTCCCCGGCCCCCCCGCTGGGCCGCGCACATGCCGGTCATGATTCGCACCCCCCCCTCTTGGACACCCCCCTCTTGGCCGCTCCCGATAGTCGGAGGTTGATAGACCTCCTGCCCTGACACGTCGAGTAAGGAATTGGCCGTTTTCGGTTCGCGAGAGGGCGTCGCGGCCGTCATCTCGGCGGGTCCAGGTCCGTCGGTTTCGGTCCTAGGCAGTTTTCACTACGGGGAGGTCCCTGAGCTGGCCAGAATCATTAAACCGGGTCTGCCGTAGCTGGTGCTTTTTTCGGGTGGCGGCAATTCCGATTCCGCTCCGTGGAGCGGGGCGGGGGAGGCGCCCCCCAGTATTACCAGCCTGGAGAATATCCCTATCCCTATGCTGGGCACCTCATCACGATGCCAATCCTAGGGATTCCCTTATTCTTTGAGGGCGAATCCCTAAGATTGTCATCGCCTTTTGGCGTGTCAATCTTAGGGATAGGGATAGGGATACGTTCGAGGCTGGTAACAGTACGCATCACTAACTTGGGGTCCCACTATGAGCCCAGTGCTGCCATCGCCCGGCAGGGGCAGCGAGCGCGAGCGGGGGGGGGGGGACGGGTGCAGGGGGGCGGGGGACGCATCGGCCCGCAACCGCCCCGTTGGATCGCCGACGGGTCTTCTAGCCCCCTCCGCCCGGGAGCGTGCCGACTCGCCATCGGCGGGGGCACGTCGCCGATCTACAGTCAGCGCGCCTGGACGCGCGCCTCCATCTCGGGTGCCCTCGTGTCATTGTCGCGTTCCGTTTGCCTGGGAGGGGGGGTGCAGCGTGCAGCGCCGATCCCAAGGGATCCGCACGGATTTCCAGAAGAGTGTGGTTCGACTGTGCCGATGTTCTTCTTCTCGTGAGAGGAGGCTCAGGACGAGATGTTAACGGGAGAGGCTCTACACCGGCTGTCAGACATTCTTGAACAGTGCCCCCAATCGTTTGGTTGTCGCTCCTCGCCAACACATTCCGCTCCTCAGACCATGGCTCTAGGCAATCACCCTGGTAGCATTGCTCCCTCTTCGCACTTCTGTTGGTCCAGGAGGTATCATCATGAGGGAGGCAAACGACATCCAAAGCAGCCGCGGCGAACGATCAGTCAAGCCAGAATCTGACCCATAGTCAACAGCTTCGCAGTCAATGTCTCTCATCAGGCAGCCGCTTGAGACAAGTATGCACATTACCTAGGTGGCGCATGCAAGTCAAGAAGAGAAAACCTGTGGTATGGGCCCAAGCTGCGATATCCTTACCAATCGGGGACATGGTTGCGCCTGCTTCCCGATATAAGTAATACTTCGCTTTGCCTCACGGGCCAGAGGAGGGTCCCCCAACATGCGCAGCGCACCGGGGAAGCTCTAATGCTCAGGTGCGCTCCGACGTAGCCACATACACACAACGGAGCAGGCTACGAAACCATACGCATGGCTATTCTTGTCCCCAAGACAATTTTGGTCCGTCTTGAGCCATCCTGGAGGTTGTTTACGTAATATCGGACTGTTTTGGGGATGGTTGGTGGTCTTCGAGCCGTCTTGGAGCTAGGACGGGCCTCTTTTAGGATAGTGTGTCCGCCCACGAGGTGTTCGTGGGGTTTCTCAGGCCGTCTTGAGGCGTCTTGGGACCGCCATTGGCCATGGGAGCCATGGGAGCACTTGGATGATATGGACGCACGGCCTATCACACTCATACGACGGGTATCAAGGTAGCGACGATAGTGGCGCTGAGAGTCTATGAGGTGTTGCGATTGTGCGTGATGATATGCTCATGTCCTTACATGTTGGGGTTGTGGCGCACTTACGTGCTAGCACGTTTGGATGCCATTCGCTAGTGTGATCTCATGCTTGTTAGCATGTTGTCCTGCTTACGCTCTTGCCACACGCGGCATGCCCAGTTCAAAGCCCAGCGTTTTGAATCCGAGACCCTAGGACATGTGTTTGGGCAGCGCTTGCGGGACTCTGGACAGCAGAGGTGAGCTCCTGTCCCGAGGTCCCTTCAGCCTCAAGCCTGGCGTCACGGGGGGGGGGGGGGGCAACGTGAAGGGGCGCAAGAGAGCAGAGCGAAGCGACCAGCGGATTCCGCAACTTGGGGACTGGCGAGGATCTGATGTGCGAGGGAAGTCGAAGTCATGCGATGTGTGCGAGGTTCTGGGGCGGAACGGGCGAACGAGGAGTCTGAGGACGACAGGTGCGGGCAGGGGTCGTCGGTCCAAAGAGGTTGGGCAGTGGGATCATTGGAATCGGATCAAGCCGTAAACAATCAGTTTCATCGTTGTTGTTGCTCCACCTTGCGACGCAGGCTCGGCCTGACCCCTCATGCCACCCCGACCCAACCCTTCGCGTCCGCACTGTGAGTGACCTTCCCCTGTAGACACTGTTGGGCGCTCATGCTAGTTCAGCGATGTCTCTAGACCATTCTACGTACGCTACTCTCTCCTGAGATGAGCACACTTTGGTATTGGCTACCTGGGTGATGACTTACATTCTGCTACGCAGGCGATGTTTCGCGACCAGTGGTAGTATTGGCTCAAGGTTCGGACCTTCTGGTACTGCCATCTACGTGTTCACCTCGATTACATTCTTGGTTCATTCAAGTGAAGGAATATTTGATTTGCTTGATGCCATGGTACTGAGCCGCTGCTTGTTGGGGCCATCTTTGGCAACGTTGCTGGCGGCCGTGAAACTAGGAAATGGCAATGCCTATTCTGGGCAGAGTCCCATGCAGTTGTCGACGTCAGTGGGGGGTCACCATGGATTGGTTGTAGACCAGACGCTTGTGCAGGTTTCGCAGGTGTTTTCCACACCGAGAACATTAGTAGAGCAAGCGCCCACCATGATACAGTTGGGGCAAGAGATCACAGGGAAGACCTCGCAGGAGAACCTTGGTCAGGTTATCAGCTTAGACGAGACTGGACATAGAATGGTCGTAAGTGCATTCTTGAATGACTACTTAAAGGTTAACGCAGGCGCTGTCTACGTATATGAATGGAATTCGACGGCGAGCGAGTGGTCTCCACTCGGCCAGGACGTTTACGGTGGAAATGTCCCGGATGGTTGGTTTGGTTGTTCTGTTTCTTTGAGTTCCGATGGGAGCCGTTGGGCTGCAGGTGCGAGGCAAACATCCACGTCGCAGCCAGAGGATAGCGGATCCGTGCAGGTCTTTGAGCTGGGGCCCAGCGGCCAGGCTTGGGTACAGGTCGGTCAGACCCTCTACGGCTCCGAGGAGTTCGAGGGTTTCCGAAACGTTGGCATCAGCGGAAGCGGCGAGTACCTGGGCGTCGGTGCCCACGACCACCCCGAGGGTATGGTGAAGCTATCCGTAGGGGGTGCCGCCCTCTGCCGCCGGCACCCCATCTCCAGCAGAAAGGGATGCCGCAGAGATTTTGGCTATCCGGGGATGTCTTGGCAACGTCTGGATGACATCTTGGGACAGCGTGCGATTAAAACGCCATGAACATAAACTTTTGGCGCTTCGCGCGAATTTCTCGGATCTGCGCTGGACCCCGCTCCCTTGCGCGCGAAGCGCGCCAGGGGTGGCGCCGGAGGCGCCGCCGGGGGGCCCCAGCGCAGATCCATCAAGTCCGCGCGGAGCGCCAAAAGTTTATGGTTGTGGTGTTTTTTGCTACGCGATGTGTCAAGGGGGGGACACCACCGAGACCCCCACAGCTGGCGTTTGCTAAACGGCCCTGGCATGTTCGAGTTCTTCCTCGGGTGCGTTTCCTAAACGGCTTCGCTTGTCGGGGTGCTTCTTATGGGGGTGGCTTCCCTGCCCTCTCAATATGGGCTAGCAATCAGGAGCACACAGTTGGTTGTTGAACTCTGTGCTGCCTTCTCAGAGCATGTCCCTCACCGTGAGTCACGTGGTGCAACAGAAACCTTCCTCGAAGGCTGCGGGGGTCTTCGAGGCCATCTTGGGAAAGTCGCGGGGTTGGGACTGTCCGCGGGCTCCTTACAGCCTTTGCTGTTTTCGAGGATCGTCGTCGGCAGGTCCGCGCAGAGTTTCGAGGGAACGGCGGGGGGGGGAAAGCGCAGGGCGTCCACCTGCCGTGCTTTTGTGGTCAGGTCGAGGGGGCGGGTGGCGATTTTGGGCAGCCTCCGTGCGGTGGGCTCGTGGCACCGGGAGCACGAGTCCGCTTGGAGCACGAGTCCGCTTGCGTGCTCAAGCGGCCGTGGCCTCGCGGGCGCGAGTCCGTCGTACGTGGGGGGGAGATCGCGGCCTCGGGGGCGCGCGCCCCTCGCTGCTTGCAGAGGATCGTGGCCTCGGTGGCGCGAATGTGGTGTACTTTGGAAGGGATCGTGGCCTCGGAGGCGCGAACCTGTTCTTCCCCAATCAGTGCTTGCACTGAAAGGGTCCTAGTGGAAGCTGGAAGATTTGGCGAGTGTTTCCCGCCGATTTTGGTGGCAGGCTGGGTTCCTGGGTTCCCGGTTCCCGGTTCCCGGGTTCCCGGTTATCGGTTCCTGGGCGATTTTGGTGGGTTTTGGGTTCCGGGGCTCCCGAGTTCCCGGTCGATCTTCTGCAGTGAAAACCATTGTGTCGTACTACATGGGGGCTCAGTCTGTCTGCTTCGGGGGCGCAAGCCTGGCGTACGTTAGGACGGGTTCTGGTTCCAGAGGGGAAAATTCGGTTTCATGTTTAAGAGATCGTGGCTTCGGGGTTGGGAGCCTGACCTAATTTACAAAGAATCTTTGCCCAGGGGGCGCGAGTCTGACGCGATATTCACGGGATCGTGGCCTTGGGGGCGCGCGTTTTGCGTAATTTGCTAGGGATCGTGACCTCGGGGGCGCGAACGTGGCATACTTTGCAAGGGATTACGGTCTCGTGGCGCGTCCTCGTGTAATCTGCTAGGGATCGGGGTCTCAGGGGTGCGATTATGCGGAAATGTGCGTGTCGGTGGCGAGACCCTGTCATGATCTGCGAGGGGATGTGGCCCTGGGCATGCAGCTCTGATGTGCCCTGGGAACCCGTAGCCCGATCTTCGCAGCCTGGTGGCCCAGAAGAGGAGGCCAGCGGATCAAATAGCCTTCGGCCAATCACGCCTTCGCGAAAATGGTTTAGTGAAGGTGAAGGGTTTCCGCCCACACGGATTCGCTTGAAGTCGCCCGCGTGTTGGTCAGCTCGATGCGGACGGACTTTGTGGCGTTCTCTCTGCGTTCGATCATGACCCCCTATTGAACCGCAGTCGTCCAGCTTTCCCCCTGAAAATCGCGGAAAATCGCCGAAGACCCTGAGAAGACCGTCAGACCACCGCCGCAGACCGCCAAAACGACCGCCGAGATGCCGCCGGAAGAGACCGTGCGCGAAGACCTTCGCAGACCGCCGGGACCGACAGGGGCAGCGAGGGGCCCACGGTCGCTCACGCAGCGTGCTTCCCTTTGGTAGTTCCTGCTCTGGAGGGTGGGCGAGGCGCCGCGGTGGATTGGTAGCCCCCAAACCCAGACTCCCTCGAGTAATGAGACGATCATGGCAGCAGGCGTTTCTACATTTTCGGCCTCTGGGGACCCGTACTGGGCCGCGGGACCGTTAAAAAACCATTCAGGATGCAACACTTGTCCCGGGAAATGGGTCGACACCCTTGGGGGTCGACGGCATGAGAAAATCTTGATGTCGGGGGTCTGGGAACGTGGTGGTGACAACACCCGGCGGTGTCTCCACCTGGTGTGGGGATTCGTGTGCTTTCTCGAGGGTGTCCCGAACGCTGGCGGGCCCAGGGGTCACAGAACCCGGCGGTGACCCTGTGCTCCAGAGCCAGGCGGTGACCTCTTGGGGATGCCAGGTCACCACCTGGGGCTCCCAGGTGGGAGCCCCGAGTGCGGGGGGCGCGGCGTCGTGCAGGCCCAGAACTGAGCTCTCGGGGGGGTGGGGCGGTGGGGCCGGGGGCTGGGGAGCCTCGCACGGCGAGGCTTCTCCCCCAGCCCCCCGACCCTGCGGCGAAAGGGGGGAGCCGCGCAGGCAAGGGCTGGGATTCACCCCTTAAGGGGCTACTCGGACGCACCCCTCTCGAGGCCCCACGCCCCCTCCCCTCCAACGCTGGGGTGAGGGTCAAGTCGGGCGTGTCCCTCTTACAGGAGGGGTATTCCAACATGGTCAAGGAAAGAATCAGGGGACATTTTTGTTCACTATGTGATATTATCATTTTGAGTATGTTCTGACTATTTCAAATCTTCCGTCCACAATCCATCTGTAGGGGGACACGCCCGACCAAAGGTTGATGGTCGACAGATCCCCTGTTTTTAGCCACTGGGGCCCACGATGGCGTCCTGCAATCTTTGCAGAAGCGCGCTGGCGAAACTCCAACACGCTTGTTGCGGTCTGTGTTGTCGGATCAAGGGCAGACCTTCCGTTCCTACTGTCCTCGCTTGCAGGTATCATGGGCAGTTCATAGCTCCCGCGCTCCCTCCACTCCCCCAAACCTCCCTCCCTGCCGCCTTGAGCGCATTCCTGTGGTCACGTCGGGCAGTTTGGAGCCCTGCTAGGCCGTCTAGGGGGCCGTTTGTTTTGCGGGCCTCTTGGGCCGTCTTGGGCTCTCTTTAGACCGATCATTCGAGCATCCGGTACGCATTCACGCCGCACGCTCCTCTGGCAGTCTACGGAGGGGCGGATGACGGAACGGGCGCATAGCGTTCGACCCGTTAGCCCAGAAGTCAACCTATGGGGGCGTTTGAGGGGTTTTGCATGCGGGCCCCAGGGTTTTGCATGCGGGCCCCAACAAAACATCAAGTCTCCGACAGGGTAATCGTACTCAAGATTTCGCCGAGATTGTTCCAAGGCGGCCCAAGAGGCTCCCAGGAGGGCCATGAGACGGCTCAAGGGGGCCCGAAGACGGCAGTCCAAACGGGGAGAACGCATGGTTCTAAAAAGCGGGCTGTCCAAATAGGGAACACATTATTTTTTGACAGCGCACGGTCCTAGCGGTGAGCGCACGTTGTGCCGTCTTGGGGCGTCCTTGGGAACCTTGGGGGTCATCTTGGGGTCGTCTTGGAGGGGATCGATCAAAAAGGGGCTGTGTGTTTTTGCTATATCACGGCCACCCCCCCAGGAGGCCGTGTTGGAGGTTTGTGATCCGAGCCGTCTCCGAGGCAGAAACGCCACGCGACAAGCGTTGGGAGCGCCCAGAAATGTTCAACATTCGCTTGGTTTGGGGCCCAGGACCCTCTCGCCATTCGTGCGTACCCTCCATCGGGCCCTCGGCCCCCTCCACCGTTGGAAGCGGTTCGGAGGGTGACTGTTGAGGGGTCCGCAGGTGGTAGCGAGGCTCTCGCCCAGCCTGTGAGCGCGGTAATCACCCTTCCGCCATTCCGTTGGCTCCCCAAAAAGAGAGGTGCGGCCTCCGCTCTCGTGTGCGTTGTTCCGCCGCTGCCCGTCGTGCTGCTTGCTTGTGGTCGTTGCTGATTCGGCCCAGGGCTGGACCTGAACGCTGTCTTGCTGGATTTCGGCTGTGTTTTGTTGATGAGCTTGTTTTCCACCACCACCACCACCATAAGTCGGAGGGGGAGGGGGTCGTCCCCCTCCCTTCTTCCTCGTCCTCGTCCTGCACCTCCTTCCCCCCTCCAACTTATGGTGGTGGTGGTGGTGGAAAACAGGCCCGTCAATTGTTTTTCGTTTTGGCCGGGAGGTGGGGGAACACAGATCGAGCAAACCAAACAACATAACGGAACCCAAACTAAGTTCCTTGGCGAATGACCCAATCATATGCAGTTGTGGGCATCGCAATTGTGAATCTCTTCTTCGGTGAAGCTCCCGATGGGGCCACGAAGCGCTGCACTGGGCGGGGGGGAACACATGCGGGTGGTAGCACTGGGGCCGTCGGTGGAGCTCCCCATGGGGCCACGGCACGATGTACTGGGTTGGTGAAAGTGTCAAATTGGGTGAGGGGCGCATGCGGGCGGTCCCACTGAAGGTTTCGGTGAAGCTCCCTATGGGGCCACGAAGTGCTGTAATGTGTGGGTGGAAATGAAATGGCGTGTGGGACGCATGCAGGCGGTCCCTCTGGGGGCTTCAGTGGAACTCCCTATTGGGCCACGCAGCGCTGTACTGGGTGGGTGAAAATGCCAAATTGGACTTCAAGGGCGCATGCGGAAATTGGGTGGGGCCTCCGGTGGAGCTCCCTAGGGGACCACGAAGTGCTGTATTGTGTGTGTGTGTGTGTTTGTGTGAATGTGAGTGTGAGTGTGAGTGTGTGTGTATGTGTGTGTGTGTGTGTGTGTGCGGGGGGGGGGGGGGCGCACGCGGGCGGTCCCATTGGGGGCTTCGGTGGAAACACCGTATGGGGCCACGAAACGATGTAGTGGGTGGGTGAAAATGCCAAATTGAG